TGTGTTGTATACATTGTAGGATGAACCCATAGAAAATGCTTTACCTCTAAAGGAATCCGAATGGGTTTTTTTTTTATTGTATACACTCGAAACTTTTTAGGTTTATTAATCGTTAAACATTGTAGAGTTGGAAGTCGTCCAGACCAACAGCAAACAAGCCTTTAGTTACCGAACGAGTATCAACATAGTTAAAAGTACCTTCGGGCAGTACGTATTATCAACTCGTTTTCATTTAACTCGCATTATTTATTACAAAAGTCGAATCTCGCGAGACATCAGTACTTTTATCATTAAGTTTCGAAACTTTATAATTCCCTCCGGGCAATGATACCGAGACTGTTTATGTGTATGATCCTGCGCCGAAACGTTTACCTCACTGCTGAATTCCATGTTGCTCGTTCAGATTTATTTCCTACCAAAATCGTTCTCCGGCGAGCGTACCCCGGTCTGTATTGATTTGTCCACTTCAAAAAATACGGCTGTGACCTTTACTGAGCTATTTTAATTAATTGAATAAACCTTTAAATCAACAAATTTCGTATGCAGTCCGGAGTACAGGAACAGCAAAACGGAATTTCATTAAATTTCCACACAGATTTCTAACTTCAAGACGGACAACTCCTTGAGTGGAGTACAAACTCGATACTCGAACACGGTACACGGTTAGGTTTTTGGCTGTCAAATCAAATCTTTTCAACTGGCTTTGGACGTCCGACCTACTGACCCGAGAAACGTCACGGCAATACCGTCTTGAAACGATTGCGGAATTCGCAATCTGACGTAGAGCACTTAAGCCATGTCGTCTACGGATGGACTTATGGACGGTTAAACGGTCCGAGTCGTTGCCAAACGTGTACACTGTGTATATATATATATATATATATATATATATATATATATGTATTCCAACTCAAACACAGTTTGGTTTACACTTTGCTGCACCCGGAGGGCACGCGCGTGCAAAGGGGAAGGTAATTAAATGAATCTATCTCCTTCAGACGAGGCCGGCTAGGTGGTGATTAATCGGTTCGTTAATTACAGTACCGGGTGTTCCCGACGACCAGCATCATCCACTACCGCCTCAACCGTAGACTCCACATAGGCCTTTTCCAAAACAGAAACTCCGCAAACTCCTCAGCTGCACGAAACGACTTAAAGATATTATGATAATCTTGGCGTTCTCCTCCGAGTTAATTCCATAGCTGTTCCATAGGTATTCGGCCGGAGACGACGGAAAACTTCTAAACGGTGGGCGGAGGGACATTGGGGTGGATATTTTTGGAACTTTGATTGAAGAAAATACAAAGAAAATTTTTTATTCGAAACAAAAATCTGCTATTTCTTCGGACATCATTCGAATGAGATCAGTCCATGATAATAATAACCGAACGATTAGCCCTCATCTGAAGCTTACATAAGTGTCTCAACGGATCCCAATATTATGTTTATTGTCATTATTATACTGACAATAATTACTGGCGAAAAATGTTTGTTAACACGACCCGTAACAAATAAAAGAATATGATATTCTTAAACATAAAATTAAAATTTTTCAAAGGTTTTTCGATATGTTGTGAAACGTTATAGTATTATTTGTCACGAGAGAATGATGTTATTGAGAATAATGTTTAACCTTGAAATAAAAATCGACTTGATCTTTCGAACAGTTTGCTAAACCAATTATGTAAATGGCGCCATTAAAGGAATGCTGGAATGTTTTGTAAACTTTCACACTTATATTTTTCGACATGGAACAACACTCTATAATACAATGGAACGATTTCCTTTTTGAAATAAAAACACTCGAGAAACAGCCTACCGCAATCTGAGCCTTATTTTGTGGCCTAGAAGCTTAAGACGCTTCATTGTTGTCGGGAAAAGGTTGAATTCAACCGCGGCCGTCACGGCGAACACCGTTAATTATAAATTATAGTGTTACCTTATACCTTGAAGATGTGATTAAAAAAAGGATAATTTAGGAGGGAAATATTAACGCTAAATTCTAGTTGGTGAAAACAAAACAATGAAAAGAGTTTAATGTTGCATCTGTCGTGGTTAATAATTTTACCTACGTTAACGTTTATCTCGACCGTCTGGTCGGGTAATGACTGTAACACCTGTAACAAGGTTGTCCAATGTCTTTAAGACACATCCCTATTCAGTGGCTTGCATACAAGAATTTTTTTTTCATTGATGCCTTTGATTGGCGTTGTTAAACAAAATGATTGGTTATGGTCGGATAGTGTTGGTGGTTTTATTCTATACAAATGCAGTTTAGACTATTAGTGGCTGAATTGGCGGCGTTCAACACTGAGGGATTCGAGCACGCGAACGGCTAGTTTTAATCAAATCAAATAGAGTAAACCTCCGGTTGGATGCAATCGATTTGTAAATTATTCACGGGCAAAGCGAATGCGTTCGTTTTGCTAATGCACCCGACCGAAAGTAAAATCTAAAACGTTTTCCATTAGATGAAATAATTGATGTAGCCATGAACTCGGTGCACTCGGTGTGATCCAATCGAATAGAACGGTTTCAGGAGAAACTGGAACAATAATTATTATCGAAACGATAGTTCTTTTAAAGTGCAAACTCAACCAACACTTGTCTAGCAAATAAGCTGAAAACAAAATTCTATTAACTCCCCTCCACAGTGTTTCTCTGTTAAAAAAAAATCAAATTGTAAGGCAAAGCTGTTCAAGTGGATATATTTTATTATACACAATTTCCTACGTTTCCTACGCGTGAATATTGTGTTTTGTTTTGTTTGTAAGAAAAAAAAACACCCCGTTTTCTTATTCGAGGACTAAAATAATGATTATTATTATTTTCGAGTACAGATTCGTCTAGGGCGGAGAGAGTACGTCAACACTTTAATTATAAATGATAACACAAACAAAAGTTTTCCGTCTTCGGATGTGTATAAAAACAATTAGTGCGTTGGTTGGTTAAAAACTTAGTTATTAATCAAGTTGTTATTTCAAAACAGTTACTATATAATTATTATATTTCGTCAAAATTAAATTCGATATTTCATATTTTTGGTCTTATTGTTTGTCGGTTTTTGGAAGAATACAATTTGCATATTTATTAATTTTATTCCTGTTAGCCCGGACAACATAAGGAAAAGAGATGTTTCAACGGATAAAAAAATATTTTAATTTCTTTTAATTAATTCGCGTTTCTCGTGTCGGAACAACTGTATATTATAATATTTCTTTTCGGATACACAACGGCCGAGCACTCCCTTCAGTACGAATATAATTATTTCCATAATGATAAAATCATTTTAGTAGTAGAACTTTTTTTTTTTTTTTACAGTTATAAGTCATAACGCGGTCCGGGTATCTTCGATCGGGTACAAGAAATGTTTGAATATTGATTAAGTAGTTTATTAGTAAAACGGCTGTGGCAGAACTGTGCCACACATTTGGGTCAAACGAAATAGCTAATATATTTACTACAAACGACAGCCAAAGCCGAATCGCGTTTACTTCACGTAAAAAAAATTAATTAAAAATAATATCGAAAAAATAATTAATTCCATTTTGCGGGTGGTTTCGTTTTTTTAGTGAGTTACTTGTTTTATTATTTGCCAAGTTTGTTTTTAAAGCTACTATAATTTTCGTACATCCAAGTGCTTCATTATGGTTGTTTTCAATTATTCGTTTTTGTAAAGCACCTACAATGTATTTGATTTATTTCATTAAAGAAAGAAGTCTTGTTTGGGCTCAACGGTAAATTGTTTTTTTTTTTTACAGAGTTAATAAACCTTTGGAATAATTACTTTAACTTCTCTCTGCACTACCTGGCCTGCCTGGTTCGGTTACTCGGAGAAAAATTAACTTTAAAAGTATTCTAATTAGAAAAATTTAATATGTGTTCACTTGAAATTAGTAGACATATTAAAAATGGCTATTAGATCAGTTTTTGTCAAATATTACCTATCCTTTCCCCCTTAATAAATAGAGCTTTCTATTCCCATTAATTATTTCTAAATTTAATTAATTTTAAAGCTTAGGACTGGATGGTGGGGAGGGGTGTAGTAGTATTATTGTTATCTGCCCTCTTTTCCCGACTTTTAAACTCGAATAACATTAAAACTAATAAGTCCACACAGGATATTGTGCGTAAGGTGTGCTATAAGACATACGCTTCCGTTTTCAGTAGCTGTAGACGGACCACGGTGACAATCTAGATGTATGATAAGACGGATATGTGATTGGGTTTTATGTTATGTTATTGTATTACCAGTTAGATATTAGAAATAAGATTATAGAAAAGAACTATGTAATAAGAGACAAGAAACAAGTGATAAGTGATATGATAAGGTAAACCGCAATAACATATCCACGGTTCAATGATTATTCGTGGAAAAGAGAAAATAATTAAATTTTTGACATTGATATGTTTTTTGGCTCGAGGTCAATAGGAGAATCTGTGCGTCACGCTCAACGTTACCGAAAAAATGTGTGCGTGTGGCGCGATATAGCGGTTGTTTTTTTAAACGAAAGAACTGATAAATAATTATCTGACAAGATATGAGAGATAAAAAGATAAGAGATAAGATATTATTTTATATATATAGATTAGTATATATTAGGATATATAAGGATAAAAGGATATAAGTATAGTAAAATTAGTTTGTTAGGTAGGCATTTACTTACTGGCGAACCACGGAAATTGATTTATGAGAAATGTTAAATATAAATGAACTACTAACAAACGTTTGGCCAGAACATATAATTAAGACTATACTATCATCATATTATATCGCAAGGAGATTGTAGATAGGAAATAGACATACAATTATCAGGGAATATCCATGTGTTGATGAATCCGCATGAGATGTGGATACTCTCTTAACTGATTTATTTATAGCGCAATGTACCCATAGTGCCCTGGTACCCGAATTAACGATACCATGTCCTTGCCGTAGAGCTTAGAAATTAGCTAGGGTGATATATTCCAGCGAGTCCGGATCTGCTGGATTTTCTTACCTGTAAAGCATCCGTTCCTGTCGGTCCGCCTCCTGGTAGATCCTGTAGTAGGTGAACAACATGATGACGCCCGGCACCCAGAACGACACGCTGGACGAGACGACCGCGTACTTCTTGTTCACGATGAACACGCACTCGTACGGGTTCTGCTTCTTGGCGACAAGGTGTTCGTACGTGGTGTACCAGTCGGCGAAAATGGGCGCGAACGATATGAGCACCGGCGACACCCAGACGAACGCCAGCATGACCACGGTGCGGGCCTTGGTCATGATCAGCGGGTAGTCCAGCGGCTGCACGATGGCGTAGTACCTGTCCACGCTGATGCAGCATAGGTGCAGTATGGACACGGTGGAGAAGTACACGTCCATCGAGTTCCACACGTCGCACATGAACTGCCCGAACAGCCAGTAGCCGAACACCTCGACGCTGGCGTTGAAGCACATGGCGAATATGGCCACCAGCATGTCGGCCAGCGCCAGCGACACCACGAAGTAGTTGGTGATGACGCGAAGCTTGCGGTGCCGCATCACGCTCACCATTACCAACAGGTTGCCGAACAGCGCGGCCACTATGATGAACACCATGGCGGCGCACTTCACCAGGTAACCGAGCAACCGGACGTGGTCGACGGCCGACCCGGGCCAACCGCCGTCCGCGGCCGCCACGGGCACGGCCGCCGCGACCTTCTCCGCCGCCGACACCACCGCCGCCGCTGTCGTACCGTTGGCCAACATTTGTGCGCGTCCGGCCACCGTCCCGGCCCACTACATCACCGGCCGCTCGGCCGCCGTCCACGTCCGCCAGCAACGCCCGGCGGCCAGCTCATGTTAGATTTCTGGAATGAGAAAAAAAAAACTGTGTTATTCAAACATCTTAAAAAAAAGAAGTCTTAGGGAACTATCATAACTTAAGGTGATAAAAATCAGTGTTAGTTCATACGAAGCACATTATAAACCAGCACAGCAAGATAGTAGATGAATGCAAGTTCAATTCCCCGTTAATATTTTTTTGTATTTTGTAGTGAAAATTTTTAACTTTTGCCCTTATCCCCCAGCTCCAAAGCACTAACGACATGAGCATGTGCGATAAACGTTGCTGTTCTTTCATAAATTGTCGTAAAATAACGTTGTGTTTTTCTCGCCAAATCAATCGGGTCCGGATCGGATTATCACATTTTCGTCTCGAGTGTACATCCGACGGCCGTTGTAAATCTGTCGGAATACTCTCTCGGTTTAAAAAAAAATAAAAAAATAAACTCCTTTATACGGGGGAGCCCGGTCGCTTTTATCCCGGATACACTGCAAAAGCGCCGAGCTGTCAGGAACGTGCGAAAATCCTAATAAAGAAGTTCGCAGTGAAAGCGCTATACTTTCCCTGCACGTCCCACCGGAATTCGGTAGGAGACAAAACATTTACCACCTGAAAAATTCGGACTGGCGATTTTTTCATGAATATTTATATAAGCACTGTCGGGCCTAACAGTCTATGACGTCGACATCTTGCCGGTCAGCACCACAATTAATTGACTTGAAAATGCATAGCGCGTCCGTCACACTCGCTGCGAGCATAAATGCCTCGAAGGCATATTTCTCACGGTTATCTTCGAATTTATGTCATGATCCTTAGACCCTCAACGCTTTAGGTTACAAGCAAGTAATAATGTAATATTCGGAAAAAAAATACCAACGCAATGTTACATTGCAGCGATACAACGATAACCGTTTCCTAGGTCCAATTCATATATATATATATATAAGTGCGCTTACCGGTGTCAACGTGACATGTTCAACATGAATCATGTAGGTAAAAACTTTTCCCCTCCCCTCTTAACGTCAACGGGGAAATTTCGAGAATTTATAATCTTTTATTATTTATTATTTAAAGCTTGCCGGAGTTTCACTTGAATTTCACATCGGTCCGGACCGTTTGCAATTGAACTTTATATCTGTTTCACCTCGGCAACCGCCGGAAATAAGACCTTAGAATTTTTTTTTTCAATCATTTTAAATAACGTTAATATACTTATGTGGCCGTTAAACGGAATTCGCAAAAAATAATAATATCGGCGGTGCAATTTATAGACAACCACATTGAAACGACTTGGTGAACTTTTCGGTGAAACTATTATTACATGTCTTTCGCGTAAGTCTTGTGTCTTACATAATAAGTAAACCGTCGGGTATGACGAACAATCCGCACGGTCATCTAGCCGTTTTCAATTAATTAATTAAATAATATAGATTAATTAATAGCCGCTAATCTGAAATACAAATGACAGGTCAAATATAATGGTTTTTGAATGATTATTATTTTTAGGGTTATCAGCAGTTGATTAAAACCTAGTTATTTTATCCGTTCCACGGAAAAACATTGCATCGTGGATATATCTCGTATCTCTTTACCACTTATACTTTATCTCATATCTCTTATCACTCATATTTTATCTCATATCTCTTATCACTTATATTTTATCTCATATTTCATATCTCTAACTAAAAGTAAAAGTGTAACGCGAAAACGGCGGCATGAAATTATTTCTTGTATCCGGGACAATAACATAATATTATCCATGTTAAAAATTATTAAATTATACGCTTTGACTATTGAACGTTAATAGCTCGACGTTATCATAGTTTTCGAACTTAGAACCGTACAAAAGAGCAAACAAGTTTGTAATAAATTTTGGAAAATTCATAAGACTGTTTTTTTTTTTCCGATAAACCCAGTGTCTTGCGAACTTGCGATGCCTTTGTAATTAATTAAATGTCGGGGAAAAAAAATACAATCGACTCTTTTTAACAACCAATCAGTTTTTAAAGGTATATTTCAAAAATAAAAACAAAACAAGAAATTTCTGTTCTGCCAAAACAACAATAATATTACAAAGCGCGTGCTCTTGGACGATGAATTCATTGGGACTTAAAGTAATCATAATAATAATACTTAGGTTTTTTTTCCTTCTCCCTGTATTTCTCTCTTCACCCGGCTGCGCTGACGTCATCATCGTCCGTTGAACTTGTCGTGTCTTGGTGTACAACACGCGATATTTGCTTATTTTTAGGTTTAGTTGCATTTTTTTTTCAACACGAATATAATTAATGACTTTGGAGTCGGTCCGAAATTTGCGTAACGCTTTTGTGTAAAACTAAAAATTGTCATAATCGAGTCGTTGACTCGTTTTCGTTCAGTCCTGTTCTAACATTTGAACAATGTTAAGATGTTCAGTTAGATTAGAAGTTGGCCGATGGCCATAAAACGTATAATATATTTTTTTTTTGGTTCGTAGTTATTGGAGATTTATTAGTCGATGGTGATGATTTTTTTTTTTGTATGTTTTTCTCATAAACCATATTTTACCGTAGCCAACTGGGTAATGCGTTAACGGCTAATGTGTCCGACAGAACGTTTCACAATTATTATTATACGTACACGATCCGGTCACGGTGGACTTAAGTGTTGGTTGGCGTGTCCGGGTATATAATTTGAAAGGTCTGCTTTTTATGGGCCTTTACGGTCGGCAAACAACAGTCGTAACGGACCCTCGAGTCGTACACTCCGAGCTGGTCGTACACAATTGTCTCACCGTGACTTTGATTTTAATTATGCCGGTACGTCTGAGCTCTGGTGTTTGTCTTACGTTCCTATCAGCGTCAGTGCCTTCAACGATTTAAATTTGATTACACAGCGTGCACATAGGTACATATGTTTGTAGACGCGGACTTCTTAGAAGTAATCACAGCGATTATTTGTCCAGCAGTTGAGACGAACAATCGTTGTTGTGTATAATATGTATACACAGCGGTCCGTCTTCCGTATTGGAACGGGCCAAATGTAAATAACAAACGACGATTAAAAGCATCGTGAAATGTCAACGTTCATCATTACAAACAAATAAACGAGTATAGCAAAAATCGTTGAAAGTTACCGTTGCTTTACTATTGGTGAAAATCGAATTTTTTTATTATTACCAAAAATGTATAGCTAAAATGTATAATTAAAATCGTACATTAAAGTAAATGTGATGAAAAAAAGAGTGTGGCTTATGATTTTCCACGGAAAAACATTGCACCGTGGATATATCTCGTACCTCTTTACAACTTATCAATTATATTTGATCTCTTATCACTTATATCATATATATCTTGTATCTCTTACCACTTATCACTTATATTTTATCTCATATCTCTTATCACTTATCACTTATATTTTATCTCATATCTTTTATCTCTAACTGTAAGTGAAAGTGTAACGCGAAAATGGCGACATGAAATTTCTCGTATCCAGCCCAATATCCATGTCAAAGAGATGAACCACATTTATTGCAAACCTTTTTCTTGGGGCGAGCTATTTAAATACTAAAAAGGATTAAGTTGTCCAATTACGAATCTCCCCCTTCCCTTATCCATATTGTTATTTCCGATGTGAAATTTGTATACTTTGTATTTTTTTTTTGAAAACTATTCATCTACTGCGAAGCCAATGAACCAATTAAAATGTGAACAAATCGTGTACAAAGGTTTTGCCGTAATTACCGAATTCCTGTGTATAGTATAAAGTATATAAAACTCAGCGACAGCGTTTCCACTCGACTGACAACCCTACGGTTAGGCACAAACAGTGACACAACTGACAGGTGTGTCGTTTTCGTCCGTCGAAACCAAAGAATTCGATTGCAAAAAAAAAAAACCAGAAAACCCGGAAAAGGACGGCGTAATTGGATTCATTTATATATATTTTTTTAAAAATTGCACGTTCATTGCGTTCGACCTCCGCGCCAATTATTATTATAATTATCCTCGTTGTACAAATGAATAATGAGATGTGCTATAAAATAATAATAATGTATTATTCTCTCTCTCTGGATATAGTGCAGGTATTTTTAGTGTTATTTTTTTAAAATAATTTTTAAAACATCATCGTGCCCAATGTCGGACAACCGTTGTTGTTTTTTCCCTCCTCTAAAACAATTGCACGTGCTGGCACCGCCTTTGAAATCACTAAAACACACAATAGCAACCGGAGAAGAGTGTCCGAAATTAATATAAATCGACGTTTCGCCGTGGTATATAATACGATAATAATAATATTATAAATATCTTTGTATAAATTGTAATAATGCGCGAGTTTGCCTAAATCATAAATTTTACCATCCACCGACCGTATATAAGATCTCTCTTACGACAATCGCTATTATCGTCTCCACCTAACCACGTCCCATCACGCCCCTATTGTGTTAACCCGACAACTGTCACGAACACATTTTCTCTGAACGACGACAGACGTATAATAATAATAATAATAGTAATTGAAAGACTCGTTGTCGGTGACGGTGCCGGGTCCTATCTCTCTGGCTGTCTCTGTCTCTCTTTATGTACACACACGCATTAGCCTTAATATCCTTCTGTTATTATATCAAGTACACACCCACACACACTGTGGAATATCCAAAAGAAGGCGACGCCAAAACTGATGGGCTTGGATAAAAGCAGCATCGACCCGCCGCTTGAAAGAGGCTGCGCTAAATACCTTATCCCTTCTCCAATTGTCCAAGTAATGGAAAATTAGGGTTTTTTTTTTAAATAATCCGCACAAGAAGTCGGCTTTCTGGTTGTCCACTATGTGTACTTCATACTTGTGTATAAATATAAACGAGGTTCGACTGTTAAGGAAGAACAGCTGATAAAAAATGAGAGGAGACGGGCAACACAGGATGGCAGCAACTGGACGATAGGGA